AGCTTCATATATGCATATAATAGCATTCTATTCTATGCTAATTATATTTTAAACAATGTTTTTTTATGTAAAGTGACAATATTTATTTTTCTTCTAAAGTTAAATATAATACTATTATCATATTACGTAAAACAACAAATACTCAAATATTTTGTCTACTAATGATGATTTAACATAAACAAATACTCGAAATTTTGTCTACTAATGATGATTTAACATAATGATGTTGCTCTCTTTTGCAAAAAAAAGAGAATAATATTTATAATAAAATTTGATTTAAAATTATGGAGTATTTATTATTGTTAATTGTGATTTTATATTTGGTTTCAAAACATTTTAGCGGTTAAATTAAACTCCGTACAAAGTCTTGGTTGGTTATCGCGTCTGTATAACCGTACCTCACTTCACTAACCCCCACCAGGCCACCAGTATAAAAAGAGGGACAGCATTACCCCTTTCTTTATCGATTTTAAACACCACCACCCACCACCGCAACAACCACCTCTACCTCCGCCTCCCTCCATCCCTCCGTCCACATTCATTTACTCTCTTCCTTTTCTTCACTCACTCGACTTTCAAAAGGCTGTGCGCGCTGCAACTGCAAAGAACGAAAGGACGAAAGCTAAAGCGAAAGTCGTCGCCGGTTGATTCTAGATCTGAATCACCGTCTTTCATGACTGCTGATTTTGATATGAATTTTGCCTTGAAAAAATCTCTCCTCCATTTCTCATAATTCTCTCTCGGATTGCTGAGTTTCAAGTAGTTAGTGAAGATCAAAAACTTCTACATCGTTCTCTGTGGATCTGATAACGAATCTCGCGTTGCGTTGTCCTGAACTGTAAGTGTTACTTCAGTGCTCTTGCTGAGTTTATTTTCGTAGGAATAGTTAATCTGATTTAGGCTTCCATGATGTTTAATTTCTCTACTTTTGGTAATCTGTTTGGTTGCCGATGAAAGAGATAGAACTGAAACATGTGAATTCATTCCGAATTGGTGAATTTTTTCGCGGCAACCTAACATATTCTCGTGATTTACAAAAGGAATGTGTGCCTCTTTTTGTTTTAGTTTCTTAAAGTAAATGGAATTTGAACTCTGACTGAGCTTTCATTGGTGAAATGACTTTACGCTTGATTTTGTGGGATATATTCGCTCACTGTTTACTGGTCGAGAATACTGTTATGGTAATTGCTTAATCCCAAATTTCAAACTGTTTTTCTAACATTTTTTGGCTTTGAAACTACAGATTCTGCGTACTAAATCTGGTCAAAATCAACTTCCAACAATGGGGAAAGCAGGAAGAGATTGGACTCAGATCTATGCAATATACGGCATGGAAGATTGGCACACACCGATTTTTCTCTTGATCCATGCGATTGTCTTCTCCGCTTCATCACTCGTATTCCTTCTATACTTCAACTGGATCTGCTACTCCTTCGAATCAATCCTCCCGTCAGTATTTTCAACCAGTATCGCTAGATTCACCGCGGGTTTCACCGGCTCCGTCACAGCTCTCTCCGCCGTCTGCCTCTTCTACGCCGCCGGCAACATGTTCTACTCCTCCGTCGCCCTTCGCTGGGACATGGCCCAACGCATGGTCAGCGCCGTCCACGACTGGTCCACCGTGAAGACCGTACTCGACGTCGGCTGCGGCCGCGGCATCCTCCTCAACGCCGTCGCAATGCAGCTCAAAAAAGAAGGCAGCTCCGGCCGAGTCGTCGGTTTAGACCGTAAAAACACAACTTTATCAACCCTAAGGACGGCAGGAATGGAAGGCGTACAGGAATACGTGACCTGCCGTGAAGGAGACGCGCGTAGGCTACCATTTCCGGACAACTACTTCGACGTGGTGGTGTCGGCGGGGTTTGTTCACAAAGTCGGGAAGGAGTTCGGGCCGAAAACAGCGGCGGCATCGGCGGAGAGGATGAGAGTGGTGGGGGAGGTGGTGAGGGTGTTGAAGGAAGGCGGAGTAGGGGTGGTTTGGGACATGGTTCACGTACCGGAGTACGTTCTCCGGCTACAAGAACTGAAAATGGAGGAGATCAGAGTATCGGAGCGGGTAACGGCGTTCATGGTGAGCAGCCACATCGTGTCGTTCCGGAAACCCAGCCATCAGCACGTGATGGGTCCCACTGAAGTGAGATTGGATTGGAGATTCCACAATATCTGTTGAATTATTAAATCCGGAAAAAAAAAGATAAAAAACAATATCCACCAAGCTTATTTTAATAGAAAATATTTATATACGTATAAATAATAAGATATATATAATTAACTAATTAATATTAGAGTTTGATGTGTTAGGAAAATACGAGGAATGTAAAAGGTCTGGTGAAACAAAGTGGAACCAGAAGTATCTTGTTTGAATTGTAATTTAGTTTATTGAAATATAAATAAGAACTAAATTACAAGTTGCTTATATTGTTGCATGTGATCATTAATACTTACTTTTTTATACATGTTAAAGTAGTAAATATAAGCTTTGGCGTAAAACATAACCTTTGGGTTAATTTTTTATACTGTGGAGTGATAGTTTGAGACGTGTGACGTGTGATTGGCAATAAATAGCATCACATGCGATATGATTGTTATTTGGTACCTACACATGGCTGCATATCAACCTAGCGGCTCTTCCCTTGGGTTGAAGGTTTTTTGGACATTTTCACGCATCAACCACATTAGTCTCTTCATCTTTAAATACTAAGAAAATGACAACTTTTAACAATATTTTAGGGGGTGTTTGGTAAGTTTTTAATAGAAATATTAAGAGGCAATTTCTTAATCATTCGGTATTAAGAGCGTTTCGTATGTAAATATTTATATATTTTTCTTTTTTATTTCTGAACGAATCAGAACCCCTCTCAACCATTTATATATGGAGCACTATATGAACCATTCATATTTTTTTTGAAACATTTCACCCAAGACAAAGACAAAATCTCATGTAGCACATATGTTTTATTGCAACTGCATACCAAAAATTTACACTGTGCTGTAAAATTTAAAGGATTGCACCGGCCATCCCGAAAACCGACTATGTTCGCCCATGTTTCCACCATGACCCTCGTATATCTAGCTACCGATGCTTGCATTTTTTTTAAATTCTTTTTAATTTTATTAAGATTCGTATGTCTCTTTTAAATTACTTGATCAAGTATCAATTTCGAATCTAACCAATAAGTCTGAGATTCCGCGTTGGCTTTTAATAGTATTTATCTATAAATCGGATGGTGATGGTTGATCGATTCGGCCTAATCCCTTTGACGAAGGAGCTAAGTTGATCCATTTTTTTGTAAGTCGTAATTTTATTTAAATCAACTTATTTGAAGTTCATGTTGTTTGTTCCAAGCTTGGATTTATTTCGTTATTTTGTTCGCTTAATTGTTTCATGAATTTTGCTTCGAGTATGAACTTAAGGTCTGATTGAAATACTTCATTTTATTTTATAGTTATGTTGATTTTAAGACCTGATTTTGTTGGTTATTTTCATAACCAAAACATAAAACGCGGAAACATAATTTTGGATCTTTAATCTCGAATCTGATTAAAAGAAAACTTAAACATTAAAGAATGATTACATACCTTGTTCCATTGAGATTTCCGGATCTAAAGACTAGGAAGAGCTTTCCAGTTGATCCCAAGAAGTCCCTTTAAAATCCCCCAACAATGAACCATGCGAATTTCTTAGTGTATTTTCGTGTATCTTGATTGCTCCTCATCACATGTATATATAGATTGAGATATACCCTAAAGTGAGAGATGGAAGGGATCTTGAGGATCTTGAGTCAAATCGGGAACTCAACCCACAAGGTAAGTTAATATTTTATAAATTTGTCCATCAACAATTTATATTCTTACCATAATAATTGGATTTAATAATATAGCGTACATATTTATGAAGT